CACTAAAATAAAATGTGACTTTGAGTCACAGAGCAGAGCCAGACTGTTTGTGGCCTGAAAAATCATCAGGGTTTTGCCAGACAGAGAATATGAGATTGAGATTTGGAGTCAGGAAATAAGATTGTAACAGAGAAGGATTAGTTGTACCCTTCCAAATAAAAGCTAAAATCAACAAAGTAGGCACTGCTGAAGAACATCAATCTAGAGCATGTTTGGCTGCATCTTCCCCAATCTCCTCCTTGTCTGTTTGCAGATAAAACCTCTGCGTCGGGTGAAGCTTGAAAGTATCAGCGAGAGTGGGATCAGAGGATGAACAGCAGGAAGGCTTTATCAACACTTGCAGCAGTGAAAGATTGCAGAGAGGCTCCAGGAAGAGCTGTGTTTGTGCTCTGAGAGGGGGATGTGGTCAGGCCATGGGGGACAGAAATCCTGCTCCCAGGGGAGCAGAAGGTGAGGATGGAACCAGTTCCCAGAGGACAGGCAGGGTCACTGGACAACTCTCCCACCAACCCCATCCCCAGTGCCTCACCTGCACCAGCCTCACGTGCAGCTGCAAAAGTGCACAGGATCTTAGGAAATGTGTTTCCAAACCTGTGTGAGATTATGGCAGGGAAGAAACAAACCCAACTCAGATTCCTTAATTGGAGCCGACGGTACAGAAAAACCTCCTGATTCCAACCACCTTTATAATGTTTCTGTTTGAATGCTGTGGGCCAGAAAGATAACAAACAGAAGCAAATTATTTTCACCTGATTAAAACCAAGTAATTAACAGCACTTTGGTTATCTCACCTGGAAAGCCTGGCTCTGGGAGAGCTGTTAGAGCCACGTGTGAAAACAGTTTGCAGGAAACATAATTAAAATTATGACCTGAGTGATCGGCTAAACCATCCCAAAGGAGTCCTGGAGTCAGAGCTGTAAGGGAACAATTCACCTCTGCCTCCTGATGTGTTCCAGAGTGTCCCCACTGCCTTGTCCCCAGCCCCAGGGCACAGCTGGGAGCTCTGCAGCTGCCCTTGCCCTCCCAGCATGGGCCTGACACTTCTCAGGACATCTCTCCATCAGTTATTTCTCCTGTGATGTGTTACCCTCTTCTCTCCAGTTACTGAGAACCAACACCCCCGCCCCCACCAAATCCATCCCAAACAGCCCCTTCTGGTGGCCCGTCCCTATCCCAGCTCTCCATGCAAACCCCAGTGTTTTGGCCAAGCAGAGATCCAGGTAAATCATAGAATCACAAAATGGTTTGGCTTAGAATGGACCTTAAAACCCATCCCATTCCCCCCCTGCCATGGGCAGGGACACCTTCCACCAGCCCAGGGTGCTCCAAGCCCCGTCCAACCCAGCCTGGGACACTCCCAGGGATGCAGGGGCAGCCACAGCTTCTCTGGGCACCCTGTGCCAGGGCCTGCCCACCCTCCCAGGGAAGAATTCCTTCCCAATATCCCATCTAACCCTACTGTCTGGCAGTTTGAAGCCTTGTCCTGTCACTCCAGGCCCTTGTAAATAGTCTCTGTCCATCTTTCTTGTAGCTCCCTTCAGGTCCTGGAAGGCCACAGTTAGGTCATCCTGAAGCCTTCTGTCCTCCAGGCTGAACAATCCCAATCCTCCCAGCCTTTCCATGGTTATACAGTTATCAGACAAGTCATAATTTTCTTACTCACACCCAGGAACTCCCCTCCCTTCCTGCCAGCTGGCCTGCTCCAACTCCTTGGCAGAGTTGCAAGTCACAAACATCCTAACAGGAAAATCAAGAATGTTCACGAGGTGCAAAGAGACTAAATTCCCTGGAAAATGTATTCCTGGTGTCTGATTCTGTTACACAGTGTCTAACAAAATTACACTCTGAGCTGCACTGTTTAACAGCCCAATTTTGCTGCAATCAACATTTAATTTTTTAGCAGAAAGTCTTGATTTCAAATACCCTGGAAATGTTTAACAGCTGATATTAATAAGAGCCCAGATTTATTGCAGGGCTCTTTATCCCAGGGACATGATAAGCATCGTGACAAATGCTGTAACTATGGCAACTGTATCTTTTGATTTCTTTTTCCACTGAACAGCAAGAACACACATCTCACTGGATGCAGTGCCAGACTCTGCTCCCAGGTAAGACCCAGAGCTCTGAGTTACAGAGGAGTAACTCAGCCAAACCCCAGAATGCCTTTCTTCCCTATTATGTGTCTCCATTGTCTTTCTTGGGCATTTACATGTATTTAACCTAATTCCCTTCCTTTTTTTTTTTTTTTTTTTTTTTCTCTATGGCAAAAAAATACCCCCCTGCCTTTGTTCCCAGCATCAGACAGAGTTCAAAACAAACAATCTCACCCCAAAGTCAAAACACCTCTTTTCCTGACCAAAAGGATGCTCTCCTCTAATTTTGCCCTGCCTGGGAGAGAGGGAGGCATCAGAAATAGATGGAAGATAAGAGAGCCAAAAGTTCTGTCTTTTTCCTGTTATTACAATTTATAAATTTGACAGAGTCTCCCTGAGAGGATGTAAGGACTGATAAATTAATCAACGAGAGAACTCACAGCTGCTAAGAGTTTACTGGATAAAAAAGCAAGAGAGGGACTGGTCTGTGAGGTATATCTGCTCACTCTTCCTCCAGATTTCCTAGGGAAAAACGTTCACATAAGAAGACAAACAGAAAAAATGGAATGAAAGATGAATACTTATACACTAATTAATACTCATTTGTTCTCACAGACACCTTTCTACTACCCAGCTTTTAATATCCACTTCTAGCCATGAATAATGTGTTTTTATTCAGACATCAAATTTGAAGGTGATGCTCTAAATGCCCCAAGAGTTCTGATGTTTAAAAAAGGAAACAGTCTGACACTTCCCTGCATATTTACAAGTCTTGTGTCATGTAAGTCATGAAAGGTGTGAGACAGTCTGCAAATAATTAATATGTGAGCGTGCAATTATGTGAATGTACCAAAGTGCACCATCCAAAGGAGTTATTTTTAGAAGTAAAAAAGAAAGTAACATGATCCCCAAATGTTCAGACAGGAGGGAATGTTCTCTCCAAGGGCTGGATCCCTCTGCTCTGGAGCCAGGCTGGGAGAGCTGGGGGGGTTCACTGGAGAAGAGAAGGATCCAGGGAGACCTGAGAGCCCCTTGCAGGGCCTAAAGGGGCTCCAGGAGAGCTGGAGAGGGACTGGGGACAAGGGATGGAGGGACAGCACACAGGGAATGGCTTCCCACTGCCAGAGGGCAGGGAGAGATGGGATATTGGGAAGGAATCCTTCCCTGGGAGGGTGGGCAGGCCCTGGCACAGGTTGCCCAGAGAAGCTGTGGCTGCCCCTGGATCCCTGGGAGTGTCCAAGGCCAGGTTGTATCTCCAGGCAATACTTTTAAAATAAGCATATCACTGTTAAAAGAATTTATGATGTTTAGTTTTCCAGTCAGCCATTCCAGAATCAAAATAGATGCAGTGAAGAGCTGTCAAAGTCAATTTTGACTGCAAATTCTCATTTCTTAGCAGCCTCCACTGAACAGAAAATCCCTCAAGTGAGGTTAAACACAGAGCACTCTTTCGGGATGAAATGGGCCAGATTTAAAACGAAAATGACGCTTCAATCCAGCAAATAATTATTCTCCAGCACACACCCGAGGGTGTGATGAGCTCCAGAGCATCACACAACTCAGACCCACAGCCTGCAAAGAGCTGCCCTTCCCCAGGGACACCACAGCTGGGTGGTAAGGGGGGCTCTGGGGGCTCTGGACTGTGCATGGAAGAAGGACAGGCATGGAAAAAATCCTTGGCACTTGTGGGTACCTCTGTTTACCTCTTCCAACGTTAGCCCAGGATCAGTTTGAAACCACCTCATGACTCAAATCACCACAGCTTCGTTCCAGAGCAATCTCAGTAATTGCATTTATATTCTAGGGGAGATATGACCAAGACACACGATGGCTCCCCAGGTGTGGGGCTGCACATCCCTCACAGATTGCCTGAGCACTTGGCAATCACCACCGACACTCCTCTGCATGCAGATCGAGCCAAGAATGACTTGTGAGGCGACTGGGAAGCCTCTGGAAGCAGCAGCACACTGTGGCCCAGCCCTGGGAGGAGAGGTCCTGCCCAGCCCAGCCTCCCTCTGTCCTGATGAGACTGGAACTGTGTGCCAGCCCAGGTGGTGTCCATGCCCAGCTGTGCCTGAGAGCAAACCCTCCCAAACCTTGCACTGCCTTTTCCTCCTGCCCTGGATCAGGAGAAAAGCAGAGCAGACATTCCTGCAGGACCAGCTGTGGCTCTCCAGAATCACTGACCTTCTCTGCCTTGTTCAGAGATGGACAAGCCACCTTGACCCACCTACCACACACAGCTTTTCAAGCCCTGTATTTTCATCAATCTCTACAGCAGAGGAGTCCTGTTTGTCACTCCCAGGAAGCCAGTTAGAGCATTATAAACACATCTCTCTGTGCATCACAAGCAGAAATTGATACAGTCACGTAAGGGCTCAGCTCTGTGTTCAGACCTACCACAAATAAGTTACCAGCAAAAACAAGTGTCAATTTACAACCAAGTCGATGTTTTCCTGCTATCCCTGCTTTGTTTTTAATACAGTAGATTGTTTCCTGCTGGTTTTGGTTTTGTATTCCTGGAAGAACAAATCAAAGCAGCGAGCAGAGCTGCGGCAGCCAGAGCTCCAGCCTCCAGCCCAGCTGGAGCAGGAACGCTTCAGGGAGGGATGGGGAACAGAGCCTGCTGCAGAGGAGCTCTGGCAGGACCAGTGCAAGCCCAAACCGTCCCTGGCCATGGCAATTTCATAGCTTTTCTGAACCAGATTTAAAAATCTGCTCAAAAAGTCTGAATGGCTGATTGCTTTTTATAGGGCTTGGACGACAACGTTACTTGTGTGCCTTTGCAGACAGCAATGCCTCATATTATTTCTACTATTACATGGAGAAAATTAATTTTAGAAATCCATGTGAGCTCCTAATTATTTTATTTTCAAATGCTTGTGCTTTCCCCCCTCCCCCCCCCCCCCAGTTTTATTTTAAAACATGATTTCTCCAGAGATTTAAGGCATCTTCTCTCTCGCTCCTTCTCATCTCCTTCCTTGAACAATTTCATCTTCACACAGCTGCCCTTTCCTCTTTCCCATTTCATTTGCAATAATACTTTGAGTGGCCCTTCTCCTCCTCGACTGCTTTGTTCCATTCCCCTCCAGACGAGCCCTCATCACCCCGCCTGGCTCTGGCCCTCGGATGCTCCAGGTCATCCTGATGTTCACCAAGAGCTTCACACCTCAAATCAGCCTATCTGCCTGAGCTGGGAGTTAACATAATGGCCCTGATTCAAATACAATAAAGCCAATTTGAACACTCTGTAAGAACTAAATTGAAACTGGAGCTGGGGCAATTTACACCACCAGAGATATTAGGAATCTTTTTCCCTGTGACTCAGAGACTCAATTCAAGCAACGTTCCTACCTTTGCTGAGATAAGTTCTCATCTGTGAGGGATCAGTGAAACCTTCTGAAGGCTGAATAGTCATTTCTTCAGGCCCTCAGTGCACAGCACCACACTAAGGGGGTCAGCACCTTCCATACCTGAGCTGAGCCCAAAGGAGTGGGCAAAGCCCCAAAGGAGAGACAAAAACCCCCAGTGCACACAGAACTGTGAGAAACATCTATTAATGGTTGTTAGTAATTTCTCCCCAATATCAAAGGCTTTCTTGTTCCTCTGATTGCCCTAGAGCAGCAGGAATTTCTGGCTGATGCAGTCACAAGTACCAAGAGAGCTCACACATCACCACTGAGGCAGCCACAACACCCAGGAAAAGCCAGTCCTCAAAAATTGTTCACTCGGGGCTCCACAGCAGCAAGTGGTCACTGGGCTTTCCCATGGGGAAAAGAAG